AATTTAAACTTTAACTACTTAAAAATGATTAGAAGATATTTATAAAGTAAATGAATTTCAAATTTAATTTAATAGCATCGTTTATAAGAATTTTTAACATTTTCTGAGTGATTTAATCATCATTTCTAAAAAAATAAATTAAGTACAAGTAAAGAAACAAATGACAAATGAATAAATTAAAAAGGTTTAAGCAATTGAAAGATAAAACTCCAACATATAAAACCATAAAACAAAAAAATTAAATAAACAATCAATTAGAGAACAAATTATATAAAAGAAATAGAAAGAAGAAAAAAAATTAAAAAATAAGAATGAATATAAATAAATATACAAAATTTCAAATATGGAAATTTAAAGATGAAAGCCATATAAAAATTATTTATAAAATAGAAAGTTTAAAAAATTATAAATTATAATAATATTATGATTTTATATTTTAGATGAATGAAAAAATATGAATATTAAAAAACAAATAGACATTCGTTAATATATGGAAAATATTACGTAAATCATAAATTAAAATTTGATTCATATAAAAAACAAAAGATAAAATTGATAGTTAAATTTAAATTATAACATATATTTTTCAAAATATAAATTAAAACAAAATTTATATTAAAGTTTTCATTAAAGTTTCTATGCTATTTACATTAAAGTTTTTTATTTTTAGTTTTAAAAAAATAAATAAACATATGGATTTATTCGACGATTTTAGTCACAATAATAAGTACTAAATAAATTTATTTTTTTAAAAAATTAATTAAAATATATTTTAATGAAGAATTATTTTTTCTATTTCGTAAAAAATATTAGTTTAATACATTTTAAAAAAAAAATAAAATTTAATAAAAATTTTGTTTTACTTTTTTTAATCCATTAAATAAATTTTTTTCTTTAGTTAACACACTGAATTAATAGAGTTAAAACTGGATTTTGTTTCCGGAAAAACTGTTTAAAAAATATAAAGTAATAGTTTTTATGAAAAGAAAACTTTAAAATAATAATTTTTCTAAAATGGAGAGAGTAGGATTTACGAGTTATGAGTAATGGAACCATGGTCCATTGTTGTGATAAATATATGCATGCAGAAAAAGATGCCAAATGATGATGTTATTGACTCACCTAATCCTTGAATTATTGTTAACTTTATAAAATAATCATTTTTAGATTTTAAATAAATAAATCAATAGAGCTTAGATAGCATGTGTTCATCGTGTAATGTGAATGTAACTAAAATATTATAAAGGGTTTGTCTCTTCCTTTCTTAAAGCAAGTGCTAAAAATATCGTTGGTCAAGTAAATTAGTTATTCTTTTTTTTGACAACAAGTAAATTAGTTATTCATTTTTCGTCAACATAGTAATTAGTTAAGCAGACAAGAATCATTTATGGAGATTGAGATTCTCAGCATTCACCATGTTGTGTAATGTTATTACGTATTAAGACAAAAACAACTTTTTTTTAATCTTTCCGAAACTCAATTATTAATCAGCCACGTTAATCAGCCACGTTATGTAGACATGTAAATCTCAAAACCATTTATTAAACTAAGACATGTGTGCTGGAGTTAGTTTTTTTCTTGGAAAATATAAATGACCTAGAACCCTTAAATTTCTTGCAACAATTTTTTCATATACAAAAAAAATCTGTTTGAGGAGTATTTTAATAAAATAATTAGAAGGGTTACTTAAAAACTTAAAACATAGGCGCTGTCAAAAAAAGAAATGATAGTTGAATTTGAAAACTGCTAAACGCGCTTCGACTGAGCTCACACAGTCAGAAAGCAATCAAATCTCAACCGATCATGAAAGAGCGTGCCATATACGTGCGACTATTGACCGCACGATCTCACTCACTCTGGTCTTACCGAGTGGATCCAACAGTCGATGGGGTTAAATCGGGATGACAGTTCATGGAAGCTTCGGCTTTCGATCTTGACTATCCATGTGTCCCAATTACAATACGCCACGTTGTATCCTGTGCCATGTAATTACTTATTCACCCTTAGTATCTGCTACACATATAATTATCGCAGAGGAACTCCATTTTCTCCACTACGACGACTTTCTTCTCTCTCTCTCTACATCCCTCTCTCTCTCTCTCGGCTTTAACTTTAACCGGTCACCGGTTTATGGAATGACGGATTACCGGCTACAACCAACGATGAATCTCTGGACCACCGACGATAACGCTTCTATGATGGAAGCTTTCATGAGCTCCTCCGATATGTCAGCCTTATGGCCACCGGCTACAACGACGGCGACGACATCAACTCCGGCGCCGGCGATAGATATTCCGGCGGGTTTTAGCCAAGAGACTCTCCAGCAGCGGCTACAAGCTCTGATTGAAGGAACACACGAAGGCTGGACCTACGCTATTTTCTGGCAGCCGTCGTACGATTTTTCCGGCGCCTCCGTGCTCGGCTGGGCAGACGGTTATTACAAAGGGGAAGAAGACACGGGAAAGTCTAAACAGAGATCGAGTCCGCCGCCGTTTTCGACTCCGGCGGATCAGGAGTATCGGAAAAAGGTGTTGCGTGAGCTCAATTCGTTGATTTCCGGCGCTCCGGCAGACGACGCCGTCGACGAGGAGGTGACGGATACGGAGTGGTTTTTCTTGGTTTCGATGACGCAGAGCTTCGCTTGCGGTTCTGGATTGGCGGGCAGAGCTTTCTCGACGTCTAACGCGGTCTGGGTTTCCGGGTCGGATCAGTTATCCGGGTCGGGTTGTGAGCGGGCGAAGCAAGGAGGAGTATTTGGGATGCAGACCATCGCGTGTATTCCTTCGGCGAACGGAGTTGTTGAACTCGGGTCAACGGAGCAGATCCGACAGAGTTCGGATCTTATGAATAAGGTTCGAATACTTTTCAATTTCGACGGTGGAGCTGGAGACTTATCGGGTCTTAACTGGAACCTTGACCCGGATCAAGGCGAGAACGACCCGTCTATGTGGATTAATGACCCGATTGGAGCACCCGGTTCGAACGATCCTGGTAACGGAGCTCCGAGTTCTAGCTCCCAGCTTTTTTCCAAGTCGATTCAGTTTGAGAATGGTGGTAGCTCAAGCACCATAACCGAAAACCCAAACCTGGATCCAACTCCAAGCCCGGTTCATTCTCAGACCCAGAATCCGAAATTCAATAACAATTTCTCCCGGGAACTGAATTTCTCGACGTCTAGTACTACCTTGGTGAAACCCAGATCCGGCGAGATATTGAGCTTCGGCGATGACGGTAAACGGAACTCCGTAAACCCGGATCCAAGTTCTTATTCGGGTCAGACTCAATTCGAAAACAAGAGAAAGAAGTCTATCGGTTTGAGCGACGATAAAGTCCTATCATTCGGCGGCGGAGATAAAACCGTCGGATTAGAATCCGATCACTCCGATCTAGAAGCTTCAGTAGTTAAAGAAGTCCCGGAGAAACGTCCGAAGAAACGAGGAAGAAAACCGGCGAACGGTAGAGAAGAGCCGCTAAACCACGTCGAAGCAGAGAGGCAGAGACGCGAGAAACTAAACCAGCGATTCTACGCGTTACGAGCGGTTGTACCAAACGTCTCGAAGATGGATAAAGCGTCTTTGCTCGGGGACGCAATCGCTTACATCAACGAGCTAAAATCGAAGGTAAACCAGACGGAATCTGAGAAAATCCATATCAAAAACCAGCTTGAGGAGGTGAAACTCGAGCTCGCCGGAAGAAAAGCGAGCGCTGGAGGAGATCTATCATCGTCTTCTTCGATGACGGCGATTAAACCGGTGGGAATGGAGATCGAGGTGAAGATAATCGGCTGGGACGCGATGATTAGAGTAGAATCGAGCAAGAGGAATCATCCGGCGGCGAGATTGATGTCGGCGTTAATGGATCTGGAGCTTGAGGTGAATCACGCGAGCATGTCGGTGGTTAACGATCTGATGATTCAACAAGCGACGGTGAAGATGGGGTTCAGGATTTACACGCAGGAACAGCTCCGCGCGAGTTTAATCTCAAAGATCGGTTAAAAAATTTAAACGTTATGGGGTCAAATTATAATTAATTCGTTTTAGCGGGTTACCAGTAATTTTGTAGCTTGTAGTTATTATTATGCAAGAAAAGTCCAAAAATAGAGGGACAAGTTTTCTTTTGCTCTCTCTCTAGAGTCCTGTATCGTCGTTTATTGTATCTCCAATGTGTTAACGTGTATATATGTTTTAGTTACTACCATATATGATTAAAAATCATTTTACAAACTCCAAAAATGGCAGAATAAAAGATGATTAAAATCATTACAAACTCCAAAAATTAATGGATGAATATTAAGATGATTAAAATTATTGTTGCAATGTCGTGATCGATCTGATATCGCTTTCAAAGATCTTTTGTAGCTTACTTTTTTCATTAATCTGCTGTGGACGTAAAATGGTTTTCGCCAGCTTTGCGCTACATCAGAGGCTGAAAAGAGTAAAGAACAAAAAACATTTTCAATGACGTCTATGTAACAAGGAGATATTAAAAAATGGTTCAAAAAAAAAAAACAAGGAGGTATTATACATATATACATGTATGAGCAAAGATCTTTACCAGCTTGTAACTAGAAATAGTAATGACTATTATGCCTCTCAATGAAGGCATACATAATGTTAAAGATCGCCATTTAGTATGTTTTAGTTGTTTTTGCTAAATTATAATGGTAGAATTGGGTTCGAGACTTTATATTCCTAACCGTTTCGGTTCCAATCAAATCCGAGATTGGTGAATTAATTTTCACCTGCGAACCTAAATTTATACATTTCAGTATGATCCTCTAGGCTAATCAACAAGACTGCACATAAAAAAGATTTGTATATTACAATTTCCCATAATGTCTGGATCTTCAAATACACAACAAGAAAGAGCAAAATCATAATCATTTGTGCTTTCTCTTCTTCAATCAAAATCCAGTCTTAAAAGTAACTGCATTTACTTTAACCCTTACAAGATCCTCTAACAAACAAACGACTCCTCAAAGAAATCTGCAAGAGGCTTTATCAAGTATTCTTCTTCCTCGCTTCAGCTTTCCAATCTCTCCTACGCGGACAAATCTTCCGTTTAACCAACACAAAAGAACCATCTTTAGCCTTCTCCATCACCAAATGAGCTCTCCTAGCTTCTTTTTTCCAATCTCTATGGCAATAAACACGCCTCACAAAGTTCTCAACATAACCATTATTATTACACTTTAGCTCCTCTTCTTCTTCTTCTTCTTCTTCTTCCTCTTCTTCTTCTTGTTCTCCCATGGTGTCGAATGAGAGATTTTCATCAATACCAGCTTCCTCCCGCATCCTCTTCCTCGCTCTATACCTACGTTGTCTTTCTCTGTTCTTCATTCGACGGATCATGACTTCATCTTTGTCTCCCAAATCTTCTTTCTCATCAATGCTCATACCATCTTGCATCCCTCCACTATTGCTCATCATCATCTCTCCTTCAATACCCATTATTCAAAAACTCTGATAAGATTCCAATAACGAATCTTGTAGACAATTAAGCTATACAGGGAAATGCATTTAAAGGAAGAATCTAACTAACTCACTCTGTAGAACCCTAAAAGATATGATTTTCAGAAGCTAAAGGTACAAACACAAACAAATGTAAGCTTTTTACTACAGGAAAACCGAATTAGAGATTAGTTAATAGCAATCAACCAGGAATTTAGGGCTGCCAAATCAAAAACGCAAGCAACAATAGGCAAATCGATACAATAAAGACATACAAAGATTGGGTTTTTTTATGTTTTTTCTTTTTCTACAATTGACAAAACAGAGAAGTTCGATACTCAAAGATCTTCCCTTTTTCCGGATTGTGGATAATTCATTCGAAGATTGGGTTGATTTTCAGAAGATAAACCCAAAAACAATAATCTCGGATATTGATCTGTGAGAAGAGAAGTCCTAAAAAAAGGAAACTAAACTCGATAAAGGTCATACCTTTTAAATGTTATGATGAGCTTCGGTGAACAACGAAAAAAGAAGTAGCGATTTGGTTTCTCTGCTTGCTCGAGTGCTCCAAGCTTATGGAACCAGAAAGAGAAGGTTGTTCAGTTCTGACCGAAAAGGTTCGATGAAAAAAAGGTCTCTTTCTTCCAGTTAATTCGGTAAATCATTAGATAAATAAAATATATGTAAATACTCTAACAAATTGGGGTGGTGGCGCAGTTGGCTAGCGCGTAGGTCTCATAGCTATACTTGAGTGATCCTGAGGTCGAGAGTTCGAGCCTCTCTCACCCCATTTCCTTTTTCCATTTTTTTGATGAACTCCATTATTAACCAATAAAATTACGGCTTCTCTTCAATTTTTGTAATTTCTCTTGGTATCATATTTTCTACAAAACTAAGAACTCTGATCCTAATTCCTTTTTTATACCTTTTAGCGACATTTCGATTTTCCACCGAAGCCTTAATAATAACCGCTTGCAAAAATGACTAGACCATCAACTCTAACTCTAAGCCTTAATAATAACTGCTTGCAAAAAAAAATTCACATATTGCTATGAACTATTATATGATGTTTATTATAAGTCCATAAGGTCCACTTTCTAGAAGATTCTAGATTTACATGTAAACTAGGTTTTACTTTATCACTAAGTAATCCTCTCTTTGTACTCCTATATAAAGGATCACCTATTCATTGAAATAACACAACATCAATTCCTTCTATCTCTTCTCTCGATTCACAACACGTTATCAGTATGAAACTCTAGCTGTCTGAACTAAGAGATCTACAAATCTGCTTTTTAGAATTTATTCATTCCAACTTCAAATCATGTTTATTATCAACTCATGGTTTGTAAGAATGGATCATTAATCAATATTATGATAGTCTCCTGCATAGATTCAAATAATATGTTTATTTTTATTAATTTTTTTTTTAAAAGATCAATATTATAGTAAATTCTCTTGAAAAGATTTACATAATCAATATTATGATGAATTCTCTTGTAGAGATTCAACTTATATGTTTATTATGATGAGTTCTCTTGTAGAGATTCAATTTATATGTTTATTTTATTATATTTATGATTGATATTATGATAAATTCTCCTGCAGAGATTTAAATCATATAATTATTTTATTATTATTATTTTTATAAATGATAAATTCTCTAGTAGAGATTCCAATCACATGTTTATACTAATATATTTTTTCATGATATTTATAAACATGTCTTTATTCATTAAATTAAATTTATTATTTCTGCACATTATTTGCATATCAAATATTTTATTCCGTTTTTACACATAGTTTGCACGAAATATATTAAACGGAATATTGTTCATTAAAATCATATATTGCTTATATTATTTATGCACATGATTTGCACGAAATTTGTTAAATTGAATCTTATTCATTAAAATCGAATATTGTCTCATATTGTTTCTGCACATATTCATTAAATCGAATATTTTCCATATTGTTTTTTGCACAGAATCGTTTTAACACGAACTTTGCACGGATTTGTTTTATTATGTCACTATTCAGTTCTAGATTTTTTTTTTAATCTGCACTAGTTTCTGTTTTCAATATTGTTAACCCGGAGTTTGCACTAGGTATGAGCATTCGGGTACCCATTCGGGTTCGGGTCGGGTCTTTTCGGATATTGATTACTTCGGTTTTAGACAATGAGCCCCATTCGGGTATTTTTTAATTTTTCGGTCGGGTTTGGTTTGGTTCTTGTCGGGTTTGGGTCGGTTTCGGGTACCCAAATTCTCTGAAATTTATTTAAAATTTTTTATATAAAATTAGATTTTAAAAATATATTGATATATTTGGTTAAGTTTTGCTAAAAATATTGAATTTTGATATATATAACTTAAATAATTTGGATATTTTGATTATTTTAATCTAAGTATAAAGAATATATTCGATTCATAATTATGATTTTGAGAAATTTGGTTATATTATATCTAAATATAACTAATATTTTTATATATATCATTATATCTCGGATATTTCGGATATCCGTTCGGTTCTCGGTTCGGATACGGTACCGGTTCTTCGGATATAAACGTAAAGACTCCATTCGGATATTTACATCATTTGGGTTCGGTTCGGTGCCATAAAATTTGGGCCGGGTTCGGGTGGATTTTTCGGATCCGGTTTTTATGCCCAGGCCTAGTTTGCACATAATGATTATCTGAATTTTGCACTGACAGCTTATCTTGAATTCATTAAAATTTTACACAAGTTTTGCACATATATCCCGATTTTTGCACAGAACTATTGCATTATGCGTGTAAGTTTTTCACGAGATTTGCACTATTGCATCAAAACTTGTTTATGTACATGATCACTAGATTTGCACATATTTTATCATATGATCTCTTTTGGCACAAACTTTATTATTTTAATATTAATAAAAAATCAATGATTAAACAAAAAAATAAATTAAAAAACTTTTACAAAACTATCCTACGATCTTCCGTTAGTTTAGAATCTTTTTATCACTATTTTATTTGTCACACTGTCAAATAGTTCTTTCTCAATAAGACAAACTAGATAATTATTTAAAAACTGGTCGCTCATTCGATTGCATAATGTAGTCTTCACCATCTTCATTCCAGAGAAATATTATTTAAGCTGCCAAAGCTCCTATGTGTACCAACAGTTTATATCAAGTCTGATTTAGTTATACAATAATTTATATTAATTATTTATTCATAATTCATCAATATTTTTTTTTTCTATTTCCTACCAAAAGTATATCATATTAATTATTTTTTTCAATATTATATTTTATCTCTTATCTTTTGTTTAAATTATTTAGTAAACAAATATCATCCCATTGTTTATATAGTAAACAATATATATATTTTTGTATATATGTTATAATTCAAAAATTTTAAAATAAATATAAATTACTCAATTAATAAATAAAAGTATGTTTTAAAATTCTAAAATTAGAAATAAGAATATGTAGCTCAATATATAATTTATAACAATTATAAAAACACATAAATCATCAAGATATTCTCTTTATTCTATTTCTTATCAAAAATCTATCATATTAAATATTTCTTTGAATACAATATTTTATCTCTATCTTTGTTTAAATTTATTTGTGTAAAATATTAAATCACCACATCATTCATATAGTAAAAAAATATATAGATTTTATTTTATATATGTGTTATAAATTCGATTTTTCAAAAATTAATATAAAATACTCAATATTAATAAAAATATGTTTTAAAAGTGTAAAATTGGAAATAAGGATATATAGCTCAATAGATAATTTATAAATTAGTTTAATAGATATTCATATTTATAAGTATTTTTGGTTCATATAATTTTTGAACCATATAAATGAACCACATAATATAAATTTAAAACTTGATAAAATGTATAAAATATTATATCTTAAATTTAAATTATAAAATAGTTAAATATATTAAAATAATATTGTAAATATTGACTCATTTATAAATAATTTTAGATAATTTATCAAAACTATTAAAGTCCATATGTATATATAGTATTTAAAATAAAATTTACAATATTTTGCTTTTTTTAAAGGTTGATTTTTTCATGATTGTAATCTTTACGGATTAATCTAAATATGTAATTACATGTATATAAAAATATATTTAAATCGATTATAAAATTTTATAATCAATTTTCATTTTTATAATTTTAATATTACAATTATTCAGATTGATGTTATTAGAAATACAGAAATGATTACTAATATATACTGTATTTTATAAATAGATAGATTTTGTTAGAGATGAGATTCGTACTATCTCTAAAAGCTCGACATGAATTCTGGTCGGCCTATTTTGGCAATTCCAAAACTATTCAGATTGGCCAGAATAAAGGAAATTCTCCATTTATCGGTCTAATCCGGAAAAGTCGGAAGATTGGTCTTATCGGCAAGGAAGTTTTCCTATTTCGGATATACAAAGTTATCTCCAGAAGACCAACCTGACTGGACATAAATATAGGAAGCTATCAGCTTCTCAAATCATCTGAAAATCCTCTCTCGAGACATAAGGCAAACTAAGCATTCTTGTTGTTCCTAGCTCTTGATTATATTTCCATAAAAAGTTTATGTCGGCGTTCTTATTCCGACGATCTGAACCACCATGTATCTCTCAAGCTCCGGTTAAAGTCTTAATAAAGATCTCTCCTTAAACCCATAAACTCTTGTTCAATCTTAGATCGGATTTGAGTTTCACAGTTGACACTGTCTGTGGGGCATAAGAGACTAAGTCTATACAAGAAAAGTGGAGCTTGAAGATGGTTGGGACACCCACCGATCCCGATAACACCACCGCTCCCGCCGGAGGAGCCGCCGATCTCACCAGGGACAACAGGCAGGACCCGATCATTGACCCAATCACCGGACATCCTGTGGTCAACCAGACCAATCTGCAGACAGACGATGCGGCTGCTGCACAAAATACCCTCGAGGATGAACATGTCGGCCAAGCTGGTGGAAC